CAGGCACTAAAACTTTGACATCATTTTATGATTTTTAATTTTTTTTTAAGTTCAGTGATGGAGGAGTAACTAGATCAGAGTACTGTAGTGTTTGCTCTTTTGGTAGATTCTCAGCGCTTTGTATACAGCAATGATATTAATAGCACTATACGTATTTATAACAAGAACATTGAGTTACAAAACAAGAATTAAAAACAGCAATGTTTTTGGTAGGGATAGATTTAGAAGCAGTCAGATTTCAAGGCACATACCAGTTTCTAATAGATAAGGGATAGGAAGGAGCTTGCCCCACAGGCATGTTATTCTATGCCTGCCTACTTCAGGACTTCTTACACTCGCCAATGTCAGGGAAAGGTCTACATAGAAAACTGGTCTGATCCACTGTGTCAATTCTTGTTCTGAAGTTATGGTACCCATGGTATTAATACACAATGAAGAAGTGAAATAAACCAGTATTTTCCCACAAAGTACTGTACACTTCCCAAATCCTCTTGCATCTTCTGTGAACTGGACACAAAGGGACACGTACACCTGCGAGTCCCTGCCAGCTGGACAGCCTAACTCTTTAGCTCAAGCTATAGGAGACTCAGACTCTAGTCCGGGAAGAGCCCAACCCAATCCCTGATATTAAGATGGCATGTGTCAAATAAGCAGGAGCTCTCTGCAGTTTGAATCCCAGATGAGATCCACTTACATGACAGCTGCTATCTTGACACAGATGATTGATCCCAAGACCTCCAAAGCTTAAAGTCTGAGTTTAAAGAACCAGGCTCCATGGCTGTGGCTGTAACAAACATTTTTTTTCTGTCAATCAGAGTACAGAGGGGCATAACACACCCTAAACTGTGGGTTCCCCAGGTTTGCCTCCAGAGTTCCAGCACACTATCATTCTGCTTTTTGGGGCTGAAAGAATCCCTCACTTTGGCGATGTCTAGACTACATGGCTCCGTCAACGAAGCCATGTAAATTAGTTTATTTGGCACAGTCAAAGAAGGAGAGATTTAAATAATCCCCACTTCATTAAAATAAACATGGCCACTGCACTGTGCCGACGATCAGCTGATCCAGCACAGCGCGGCAGTCTAGACTTGCTTTGGCTGTGCTGGATCAGCTAATCGTCAGCACAGCGCAGCAGCCATGTTTATTTTAATGAAGCGGGGATTATTTAAAACCCCGCTTCTTTGACTATGCCGAATAAACTCATTTACAAGGCTCTGTCAATGGAGCCATGTAGTCTAGACATATCCTTTCAGCTCAGCCTATGGCCAGGTCTATACCTGACAAGGTTTGCCAGCATATCTACCAATATAACCATACTGGCAAGCCCTCCAAGCGGAAGGGCAGCTTACTCCAAAGAAAAGGTACTCATCAGCATAATTTATACCAGTCCTCCAAGCCAAGTAAGCCATATTAGCAAAAGCACTTTTATGGTGCCATCACCAAACACTTCTAGCGTTGACCATGTCAAGATAATGCTTGCGAGTGGGGGAGGTGGGTGGAAGAGGGGAACAGTGTTCTCCCACATCTCCAATTTTGGGAGAACATTTGGAGCTTAATCCCATCTTCCCAGTGAACCCCAAATTGTCATTGAAATTAAAGAGGCCAACATTTGTCAGCATCCACATGGCCTAGCCCCATTGATGGGCGGGGCAGAGGGAGGACTAAAGGGGTCAGTTGCCCGGGAGCCTAGTGATTCAAAGAGGCCCTGGGGTCCTGGCAGCCACCATCACTACTGCAGAAGCAGCAGCAGCTGGAGACCCAGTCCCTTTAAATTGCCACCAGAGCACCACGCAGTGCTCTCCCAGCAGCTGAGGGCTACTTGGTGGTTGGGGGAGGCAGTGAGACATGCTCTAGGCATTACTGAAGGCTGAATACCCCATGTCCCACCCCTTCTGCCTGAGACCCCACCTTTTCTGGGAGTGCAGAAACAGCCCCAACACACACTTTGCCCACAGGGCCAGCAAGTCTGTCGGCCCTCCCAATGTGGCCAACTGTCATGTGCAACACACAAACACTTTGTACAATTCCACCCTCAATTTATATATGCACTGTTGCACAAACTTTCCCTTGTGTATATAAAATATCAAAGCCTAAGTTGAAAAAGTAAGTTCTGGACAAGTGATTTGCATGTCACCTTTCACAAAAGTCTTAGGAAATTGAACCCTAAAACATAATTTGAAGTTTAGATTGGCCAATGAAGATTCCACATCCTATAATCATCTCCCAATGAATTATAATAGCCTCTTCTCCAGTAAAGTCTCTGTACCACATAACATGCTTTTCAAATTAATCTTGTGCCACTTAGGATTTCTTGTCAGTTATTTTAATGACTCTGGGGTGATTGGCAGGAAAGGAAAAATTGCAAATTCAGTAACAACTATACAGTACTTTGAAGAGTAAGAGGGCCAAGTCAGTAGCTAAACATTATTACTCAACTTTCACTATCAACGTTGCTACTGCTTTACTATGCTACTTAATTTATCATCAGTTCCTCAGAAATTTTAGGCAAGGAGTTGATCTCATCCCAGAACCTTTAGCATCTCACCTCTGTCCCTTTTACAAAGCCACTTCTGTTCTGTGCCACATCACCTCTCAGTTACTTTACCTAAAGAAACTCTAGCAAGACAGGACACTAAATTCTTCAGAAAACATTCAGGCTATGTCTATGCTGCTGGTTATGCCAGCAGTGAGCATGCAATTGAGGCGCAGATTAACAAATTGCCATGCCTCATTTGCATAATTTAAGCATGCCATTTTTGCAGGAAAAGAAGTACTGTGGAGGGGTTTTTTTGCGCAAAAAACCCGTTTCCCGCCAGATCGGTAAACCTCCTTTTCCTGGGAGCAGAAGGATCTGGCGGGAAAAGGGGTTTTTGTGCAAAAACAAAACATCCACAGTACTTTTTCCGCAAAAAGAGTGCATAAATTATGCAAATGATGTGCAGCAATATGCTAATCCACGTCTCATTTGCATACTCACTGTCGGCAAAACCGGCAGTGTAGACGGAGCCTCAGTATGGACCCTTCCTTCAGTCTATATCTAATCCTTTTGCAACTGTAATATCTCACCCCAACCTGAGTGCCTGACCCACAACTGGAGTTTTCACCCCATGGGTTTGTTAGCGTTTGCACTCAATTCTGTGAGCAGAGGGGATGCCTGGGTCGGTGATGCTGCAATCAATCATGAAAAAAAAAATCTGTTTAAAACATTGATAGGTCCTGGATAATTAACTTAAGATGAAAGCTGAGAAGGTATTGTAATGTTTTCTTTGACAAACTGTGCAACACAGCCACATCAGTTTCAAAGGCTTTCACTCCCCTCTTCATTGATCTGAGCAGCAGAACAGCAACTTGTACAGAAAATGACATTAGCAAAGCACGCAGGCTCAACTTGATAGGCTCAAAATCAACTATGGAATTTCTGTAGAAGATCTAGACTGTGCAGGAGAGATGTCCAGCCTCAGATCTAGTCTAACCCACACAAGAGCACCAGTTAAAAGTAGAATCTTTAAAAAAGTACAGCTTTTAAGATGTGCTGGGATCCTTTTTCTTTATTATTATTATTAATACTCCCCACCCTCTTCCAAAAACAAAATCAAGGGCCTCAGCTCTGCTGCCCTTATTCAAATTGGTTGCTAAATAAATGCTTTTGTTCACTTGTTTTCAGTAAGTGTCAATAATCCCCATTTTACAAATTGAAGGCCCAATCCTGAAGACATTTTCTATTTATTGTTTATATTAAAGTAATGTTAGACACCCTAACCAGTAAGACCACCCCATCTGCTACACTCTGTACACAAATAGAGGGGGGCGGGGAAACAGTTCATGCTACCCAGAAGATTTGCAGTCTCTGGTCTTGATCCTGAAAATACTTAAACACAAGTTCAATTTTACACAAGTTTGTATCTCCATAATTCTAATGGGTAAAGTTACCCTTAAGCTTAAATGTCCAGTGGATCAAGACTTATGAAATACTTTGCAGAATCTCCATGCAAAATTCCCAATTATGAATCTACATGAAGAGCATTTCTGGGAGTAGGTATAACGTACTGGGTGCGATTCACTGTTCCCCGTAGTGGCATTTAGGCTACTGACCCACTGACGAGAGAATGAGTGTGCTCTGTCTACAGCTTCAGCTGAGAGCCACCTGGCTTTTAGCTCAAGCTGTACAGGGTCATGCACTAAGCTCCAGATGTCCCAGGTTCAGTTCCGCCTGTTGGCTTTACACAGGCGTGGGGAAACCGAGAAGTGCAGAAGCTAGCAATGTTGAATGCACAAGTGAATCCACGTCAGAGACAGAACGCTAAAGTCCCTGCCTCCCAGGCCAGAGTCAGTTGGCTTCCCATGTGATTAACAGCCTGTTTGTGTTATTACATGATACATATAATTTACACACCCAATATGCAGATTGGAATGACCAGATTATGTGTCTGGTGACATTAAGGATAATAAATATTATTTCAAAGGACTGGCCAATGCTTCCAGAGAGACTGTCTTGCAGATTGTGGCTGAAATAACTGTATCTGTACGAAGTAACTGTCCTCATTTTACTTCATCCTCATTTTCTTGCCAACTGTACAAGTGTCACCTTTAAAGATTGACAAAAAGTTACAGGTGAAGCACTCGCCTCCTCTGAGTTTTTCCACTTTTATTGTAAATGAAGATATGTATGGTGGGGGGAGAGAGAGGAGGGAGAATTTCACAGATCTATGCCATGACAATGTTGTGAATGGCAACAATACAAAACTGTTATAACTCTGAGGCCCTCAACAATGGCTCCTTTTATATTTACCTTTCATTCAACTAACAAAAACAATTGCAATGCTAAGAACAGCATGTTCAAGAGTGTGAGATAGAAGATTTTTTTCTCATTGTCCCATGAGTTATGTATTTATTATTTCAGTCTCAACAGGCACTTCAGAAAGGCCTATGACTTGAACCTCAAAATACAAGTTGAAAGGAAGACCTACACATGTATCAAGTCTGAAGGTTACAAATATTTTTAAACAGCCTCACTGTTATGGACAACCCCAACACTTGAGCAAATGTCAATCAGAATAGTATTTGTTTGAAGAGGGGCAAAACAGAGCATGGACCATATTTCTGAAAGGGAGAAAGGAGATTTATTGAGGGGAACAAGGATTCCAGCATTTTATAGCTGAATTAAGGGGATGTTATAAAAGCCTGTTTTCTTTGTTCTCTTCCTCTTGCTTCCCTCCCCTAAAACATACAGCTCCTCCAAGAGGAACATATTGCATATACATCTTTCACTGTATTTTAAGCAAAACCACATTTTTTTAAAAAAAGCAAACAGTGAAATACTTCTAGAGAGTGTCACACCAACCAATAGCATGTTGAAACAAAACGCTTTGGTGATAGTCCATTTGTAGATCACATTTTTATATATGTTGCCTTTTCAAAGAGGCAGTTTCTAACTCCACAAAAACAAAGCAAAATTCTGCCACTGTTAATTCAACCTTTTATTATTGTCCGTTAAAAATAATGCTTACAACTCATCAAAACGTTTTAGTACTAATGATCGTTTTGAGTTACTGGATATTTTCTCTGCTAACTGGCATTATGAGAGGGGTGAAAGATCCCTATCTAAAGTCATCTAGATTTTTGGCTAGTGAACTACATAAAGCTCAGCAAGCCTCACTTGAACAACGCTGATGTAATCACAGCTATCACCCAGAGCTTAATACAGTCTCCGCGCATTGTACTATACCACAGACAAGAGCATTGACGGCTACCAATATGCAGTGTATTTTGGTATATTACCTGAATATCTCATTGCGTCTTGTTTCTCCCTTTCTGCATGATGATATCAAGTGGAAAATGTTCAGTGGTTTGCAGGCAGGAGGCGACAACCAAGAAGCACAGTTGTGACAACGCTTTGTTCTGCCTGCAGTGAATTACATGCAGCAAGGGTTAGACAGCCGCAAATTATGAAATCAAAGCATCCTTCTAGCCTGCTTCTATTACTACATTTCAGGGCTGCATGTGAGTGGGCAACATGCTTCCAGATTCATTCGCGCTAGAAATAAAAATAAATGAAAAAAAAACCATTCGATTCTCTAGCTCCAAGTTTTCCCTTTCTGGAAGCAGACTCCCCTTTAGCAACTCCCTCAGTGCCAAAAGAGGAAACAAACGCCCTGTGGCTATTCCATACTACAGCTGATGGCTACAGAAGGCAGTTACACCGATCGCACAGGCATGCACACGCCAGCTGATCAGCGGGCATGTCAGACAGCGTTTTACCAGCCCTACCTACTAAAGGACTAAGCCCCTTTTCAAAGCCTCACCCCGCCGGAACGCAGGAAGCATGCAAAGTCCACTCGCCCAGCCTCAAAATCGCAGGGCTTGTCTCCCCACTAGGCTCCGGCTCCTTGCCTTGCCCTGCCAGCCATCGCTTCGCCCCTGTCAAGCGGGATCGGCTGGATGAAGAGCCCTGAACATCTGTCTCGTCTCCTCCCGGAGGCCCCTCCTCGGGAGAAAGCGCTGGGGATCCGCGCGCGGCTGGCTGGAGACGAGCAGCAGCTCGCCCTCAGGGGCAGGGAGGAAATGCGGCCTCTGGGCTGGCAGGACAAGGGGCACTGGGGGGGGGGGAGCTTCAGCCTCTCGGGCAGGGCTCACGGAGGCATCCGAGGACACCAGGGACGCGGCCAGATTCTTCCCAGCCCGCGCCTGCCGCTGCTCCGCGGGGCGAGAGTCCCCGCGCTCCAGGCGCTGCCGGGACGCCGGAGGGAGGACGAGTCCGGGGGGCGACAGCAGCTCACTGACCTGTTCAGCCCAACCCCGCTCGGGCAGCCGCGTCCGCCCCGTCCGCCGCCCTGCCCTCGCCCAGCCAGCCGGAGGAGCCTGCCCGGGCTGGCGGGGCGGGAAGGGGGAGTGGCTCTTTGCTTTTAAACACACTTGGGCTCGCACCACGCCTGGCCGCAGCCTCCTCCCCACGCTGGGAGCCCTCCCGGCAGTGTCGTCGCTGGCACCAAATCGCAGCGGGAGCCCTCCCTGCCTTGCAGGGCCCGCCAGGAGACTCCGCCCCCAGGCCCGCCCGCCTGCCCCTGCCCGGCGCTGGGAGAGAGCGTCTCCCTCCTCTGGGCTTAGCAGCAGCGATTCCCGCTCCCCGGACGGGCAGGTGCGGTAACCCCCCATCCTCCTCACGTGACCATGCCCGGCAATGCTAGAATAAACTCAGAGCGTGTTAATGAGCAATTCAGTGCAAACCAACCAACCCCTTCCTCATTCTGGCCCCTCTCTCCCAAGCACTTTGCAGGCCATGTAAGACTATGGGTAAAGTACAATACCCTTCACCACTGCTGCTGTCAAAAAAAACCCCTGCCAAAATGGATTTTAGCCTGGAAAAGAGAAGACTGGGAGGAGACATGATAGCAGCTTTCAAGTACCTACAAGGGTGTTACAAGGAGAAGGGAGATAAATTATTCTCCTTAGCCTCCAATAATAAAACAAGAAGCATTGAGCTTAAATTGCAGCAAGGGAGGTTTAGGTTGGACATGATGAAAAACTTCCTGTCAGGGTGGTTTAACTCTGGAATAAATTGCCTAGGGAGGTTGTGGAATCTCAGCACTGGAGATATTTAAGAGCAGGTTAGACAAACGCCTGTCAGGGATAGCCTAGATCAGGGGAGTGCAGGAAGGCCCAACTGCTGCTGCTGCCCAGCACCACTCCTGGGTAGTCCCTGAGGCCACATGCCTCAGGGGATAGGGGTCAATAGGAAGCCCATGGAGGGAAGGGGTGGGGATGGGGGAGGCATGCCCCCTCAGGTGACTGCTGGCACGCTGTGTGCAGCCAGGGCAAGCGGGAAGTCCCACTGACTCTATGGGCTCTTGTGCATTTCAAAGCAGAAGCACTTGCGTAGAGCCCGGAGTCAACGGGACTTCCCGCTGGCCCCGGGCTGCATGCAGCATACCAACTTTGAAATGTATAAGAATTACCAGTGGGGGCTCTTGTGCATTTCAAAGCAGAAGCACCCACATGAAGCCCAGGGTCCATGCGGCGCTGCCACTTTGAAATGCCATGCGGAGCCGGGGTCAGCTTGGTGCTCCGAGTGGCATTTCCATGGAATTTAGGATCAGCTAGGGACTCCCAAGCTGATCCTAGGCTCCATGTGGCAGTTAGCCTGGGATCAGTTGGGGACTCCACAACTGACTTCAGGTTCTGTGTAAATGCAGCACAGAGCCTGGGGTAAGCTAGGGAGTCCCCAGCTGACGCCACGCACCACCGCCTTCTTGAAATGCTGCAGCAGCATTTCAAAGGGGCAGTGCCACACAGAGCCTGCGATCAGCTGTGCAGTGTTGACCCTTTGAAACATATCCCGAGCTCCGTGCGGTACTGCCACTTTGAAGTACTCCTTCTTCCCCCCCTTTTGCTGCCTCTATCTGATAATCGCAGCAAGGGGGGGAAGCAACTTGTCGACTCAACTATCCAATAAGCATTTGCTTATCAGATAGTCAACTAGTCAACTAGTCCTTAACATTCTTAGGTCAGATTGCAAATATGCTTTGGCCCATTGATGGCTCACAAGCTCGGAGTTTGAGACTCCTGGTTTAGATGGTGCTTGGTCCTGCCAGGCATGCAGGGGACTGGACTCAATAACCTCTTGAGGTTCCCTCCAGTTCTATGATTCTATGAATCCTGGTCCCCATTGGGCAGATGAGTAGGCTGAGAAATGGAGGAGTTAAGAGCCTGCTTATAATCACACAGCAACTCTGTGGCAAAATTAGAAAGAGAATGCAGGGGTTCTTGCTCTGAGTTTACTTCTCCTGGCCATGCTGCCAGGCAAAGTGCAGGGGTGAAGAATGAAGAGGCAAGACAGGGACCTATTTATAGGGGATATTTGTAACTTTCTAGCTTGGGGAGCTGAGTTTTTAAAATGTACTTGTATTGCTTTTTAATAGACAGCGAGAGGAGAACAGCTCTTTTTAAACAAATAAATTTTGTTATTGTAACCCACTCCTCAGTGTGTGTTAGGTATTTTCCTCAGTGCCTGATCTACAGACAATTAGGATCTATTATAGCACTCATCTTAAGTCAGGCTCTCACATTGTAGAGTCAATTACTTTTCACTTTTGAGGTTCCCAGCCAACACAGCAGTCAGGACATCACAGTTGACACATTAAAATAACACCAGAAACAGACACAGTACCCAGCCCTGCTTGCTCAGAAAATAATCCTATTTCTAGCAGTGGTTAAGGACAATCCTGTTCAGATGACCTGGCATCACACATGAGGTCAGAAAGTGAGAAACAAGAAAGATCCACAGGTCAATTTTATCAGGTGAGCGTTCCTTTTCTGTCAGTTGAAGAAGTTCAGTATTGTGGGATACATTCATCTTCCAAAGTCAGAGCTGCTTCTGATATGGTGATGGCAAGTTCTGGGGAACTGGCTCTAGAGGCAAAAGTAGTGTGACCCTAAGAGCACCCTACTGCCAGAGGTAACGATACCCCTAGGGAGATGTGGCGCCCGAGGCAGAAGTGATGAATACCTCACTTCCGGGACTTCTCCACTACCCAATCATGCCAGCTCGTGCAGCTCCCCAAAGCACAGGGCCAGGTACAGTCACACTAATTCACTGTACCCCTGGGATAGCTCTGTTTAGAGATCAAGCCATCTCCTGAAATGTAGCAGTAAGTCTCAGCTGGCCTGACCAGCACCATGCACCCCACACATTGACATTTTTAGTTTAAATGTATCTTGTAATATATAATTGGGAAACTAATGATTCATTGATCAGTAACACTATTGCATGATGTATGTGGGGTTAACATGAAAAAAAAGCCCTATGCGGATATGCTGGAAATATGTTCCTCTGATGTGTTTGGCAAATATCACCTAACACCAGATGGCTCTAAAAAGAATGGTATTTCACAGGCTTGGCCATGTCTCCAATGTAAATTAACCAAGGAGTGACTAAAGATAATGAAAAGTACATTTACATGCAAAGTAAACAAAGTCATCAGGCAAGCGATGAAAAATGACCATTGAACAATTTCCATGGGGGATGAAGACTGCCCAGGAAGCCGGCCTCTCACCTTTGACAGGATCAATGAACTTGGAGATAATATAAGAGAAGGTAAATAGCCATTTTGTCATCTATCGCCTGAGAAGACAAAAAAAAAAAAGTTGTTTGGGCTCCATGTTGGATCCTGGCTGAAGACACACCAGCTATGCTGGAAGAATGACTTTGGTGACAAAACTGCTTTGAATAATTGATGCTAGTTTGCTAAGCTAGATTTTAGTTTTTGAAGTGTATTTTTTTAGTTTTGTTTGTTTGTAACCATCACTATCTCTACACTGTCTAGTAGGTATCACCTAAATCTGTGTTCTATGGCTGCTAAGCTTGTTTTACCATAAACCAACTCAGTGCTGTGTATCATAGTGAAGGGTTTGCTAACCACAGTTAAGTTAATACCATGGGGTACATCTAAACTACATCCCTTTTTCGATAAAGGTATGTAAATTAGACATATCGAAATTGTAAATGAAGCTGGGATTTGAATTTCCTGCACTTCATTTACATAATGGTGGCTGCGGCTTTTTTTTTCAAAAAGCTGTTTTTTGGAAAAAAAATAACACGGTCAAGATGAGGATTGTTTGACAGAAATACCCCATTTCGAAAGATCCTGTAGCCCTCGGGTGTCCAACCAGTGTCCAACCAGTTCTGAAGCAGTAGCCACTATAATGCTACTATTGCGAATGAGCCACACTCAACCAGCCAAATAGCCACATTGTTCAAGCCAACTAGCCACACTTAGCCATCCAAATAACTACCTGGACACCACAGAGCTTATATACTACTGTGTATTGCCTCTTTAAAGGAAAAGCAAACTCGATTAGGCTTTAAAATTTCAGAGGGGTAGCCAAGTAGGTTAGTCTGTAACTGAACAAAAATTAAACAGTGAATAGTCCTGCAGTACCTTAGGGTACGTCTACACTACAGCGCTAGTTCGAACTAACTTAGTTCGAATTAGTTAATTCGAACTAAGCTAGTTCGAACTAACGCATCTAGAACTAAAAACTAGTTCGAACTAGCGTTTTGCTAGTTCGAACTAGTAAGTCCACATTGAGTGGACTCTGAACAGGGCTTAAGGATGGCCGGAAGCAGTGCCGGCAGGGCATAAAAGGAGGACTTAGAGCATGGAGATACTGTCTCAGGCTAGCCGAGGGCTGCGCTTAAAGGGTCCCGACCCCCACCCCGGACACACAGTTCTAAGGGGTGCCCCGCTTGCAAAGAAGTTCTGGCTTGGAGTGCCCTGAGTGCCCACACTGGGCACATCACACCACTCGGCCATCAGCCCGGCTGCACTTGCCGCAGGCTGCCATCTGGGGAGAGGGAGTAATTGGGGGGCTGCAGGAGAGCTTCCACCCCCAGAAGCCCGCAGAGCCAGCCCAGTCCTCCCCATCGGGGGCTCGTACCCCATTCCTCCCTCACCTCCTTCCACTTACCCTTCCCTAGCCCCCCTTCTTATTGATGTACAAAATAAAGATAACGTTTCTTCCAACATTGACTCTGTCTTTATTGAAAAAAACTGGGGGAGACTGGGAAAAGGAGGTGGGAGAGGGGAAGAGAAAGGCTGGGAGAGGGGAGGGCAACTAACATGATCAGGGGTTGGGAACAGGTCCCAGATGAAGAGAGGCTACAGAGACTGGGACTGTTCAGCTTAGAAAAGAGGAGACGGAGGGGGGACAGGATAGAGGTCTCTAAAAGCAGGGGTTGGGTGGAGAGGGTGCATTCAGAAAAGTTCTTCATGAGTTCCCATAAAGAAGGACTAGAGGACACCAAAGGAAAGGAATGGGTAGCAGGCTTGAAACTAGTAAGAGAAAGTTGTTCTTGACAAAGCAAATAGTTAACCTGTGGAACTCCTTGCTGCAGGAGGCTGTGAAGGCTACAACTAGAACAGAGTTTAAAGGGAAGTGAGATCAAGTCATGGAGGTTGGGTCCATGGAGTCCTATTAGCCAGAGGGTAGGAGTG